TTGTTGCTAGCTAATAATCATAGGAAAAACAATGTCACTTGTGTTAACAGTAGTTTTGCCACTGTCTTGCTTATTTTTCTTTTCCAAATAAAGAAAGGGAAGGTTAATTTAGCTCACTGTTTGTGGAAGTTTCGGTCCATAATCAGCTGGCTACAAGGCCGGGTGGCATGGCACTGGGGCAGCACTTCAGGACAGCAACAAGAGCAAAAAGAGGGGAACAAGCCTCTTCTCTTCCCTTGTATTGTACACAGGCCACCCTGCCAACCTCCAGGGAAGGTGTAGCACTCACAAAAATCCCTGTGCCCTTCCTCTTGCACCGGATGAACATATTTACAAAGTAAGGATCTTGGTTCCCTACTGAGTCTCTCAGTTAAACTTCTAAACTTCTCAACTTGACACAATGTATCAACCATAACAGCCAATGTATTAGTTATCGATTGACACATAACAACCCTATATTAGTTGTTTATTGATGCATAACAAAAATAAACATTTTAGTAAGTATAGTGGTGCATGCATGCCTATATTCCTAGCACTTGAGAGGCTGAGGCAGGAAGGGTGTGAGTTCAAGGCCAGCATGGGCTACATAGCAAGACCCTGTCTCAAAACACCAACCAAAAATAAATAAAAATAATATTAGAGTTTTCATGGGTCACAAAATTCAGATGATGCTAAGATAAAAGGTTCTGGCTGCAATCAAGATGTCCACTGAGACCGAAATGAAATATGATGAAGTCTTAACTATGTTCATCGAATAGGCTTCCAAAATGATGCACTCACATGTCTAAGCTGATGCTGATAACTTTTCCTGTAGGTATTAATTCAAAAGTGTGCAAGGCAGAAATGGCAGCGTCTTTCACAACCTGACTTTGCACATCATCCTTTCTACATTCTGTTCTTCAGGAATAAATCTGCCTCACATCCAAAAGATTCTCCATCCACACTTAAACATCTTCCTTGTCATTAATGTTTTGCAGTTTTGCTATGATGTGTCTGGGTGGATTTCTTTTTATTTATCCTATCAGAGAATTGTTTGAATTCTAATATCTTGATCTGGTTGCTTTCATAAGTAGTACAAAATATTCATCGTCTTTTTAAATACTTTCTGGCCTTTGTGCTTCTTGTGTTAGATCTTCTTACAGTTTCCTCTATTTCTAGCCTCTTTTTTAAAGATTCTATTTTCTTTTTTTGTGATTCCTGGAGTTGAATGCAGGACCTGGCCACAGAGCTACATCCCTAACCCTTTTATAAATTATAAAAAAATTTTATGTGACGGGTTTTCACTAAGTAATTCAGGCTGAGTTCTATATAGCCAAGGCTACAACTGAACTCACAAAATCCTCCTACGTCAATTTCCTGAGTGCTGGGATTGTAGGCATGCCCTACCACACCCAGCCAAAATTTTAATTTTGAGACAGGTACTCACTAAGTTATGTGTGCTGGGCATGAACATGTGAGCCTCCTGCTTCAGCCTCCCAGAGTACCGAGATGACAGACATGTACTACTATGCCCAGTTTCCTTTTTTCCCCCATTAATACTGATGGAACAGTGAGCCCCAGGGGCACGGGGAGTAGGAAAGTAAAGGGTGCAGCCCAACCACCCCTAGCTTTTACCAGGATGGCACCTACCACAAAGACACCTGCGTCCTCCCTGACGCCTTCCTGAGTGGCTGCCTGGCCCGTGCTCCCATTCCCCCTGCTGTGGTTTTCCAGGCATATAAACTCATGACTTCCTCCCCTTGGGGTAGCTCTCTGTCCTCCAGAGGGCCCCTCCCCTGCGCCAAATCAACTTCTTCATTGGTACAGTGTCTCCATCGCCCTGTGTCGGTTACTTTCCCATTTACCTTTCAAATACTTCATCATTGTGCATTTTTTTTTTTCTTTTTGGTGTTGGGAATGGAACTCAGGACTTTGCACTCGGGAAGCAAGTGCTGTGCTGCTGAGCGCTGTCTCCAACCCTTTACTTTCCTTTTGTGTTCTCTATTGAGCTGTGTTTAATCTGCTGCTATATCTACTCACTGCATTCTTAATTTTGCTGCCATATTTCTCTATCGTAGAATTTCTATTTAATTATTCCAGATATCTGTCAAAATTGTCCCAGCTATCTTTCTTTCTTTCTTTCGTTTTTGCCAAGGATCAAACTCACGAACTCTCGCTTCCCAAGCAGGCGATTAAGTCACTGAGCTAAACCCCTGGCTCTCTGTGTCATTTCTTTAAATAAAGAAAAATTGTAGTTTGTACCTGGTAACATCAAAAGGAGTTGTTTTTTCAAACTTTTTTAGAGTTTATGTATCTGCTGTTTCTCATGGTTTTTTAAAATTTTATTTTAAAGAGGGTTAAACTAAACATAGCAAAACAAAGCAAAGATCAGAAGAAAATAATGTAAGAGACACAGATTTCAAAGCAAGACAACAGGAGATCATCACTGTCTATCATATTGTCTCTTGTTTTATTCTAAGTAGTTGTCCATATCTTGTGTGAACAAGATGAATTCATACAAAACAAAATAGTATTAAACTGATCAGAACAAAATGATGAAGGCATTTTAGGCCTTCAAAACCAGACAATTTCTCATGGTTTATTTTATTTTATTCTGTTTCATTTATTATTGTCTTTTTGCGACTAGGTCTTACTTCAGGCTGGCCTTGAGTTCACGTTATAGCCCAGGCTGGTCTCAAACTTGCAACAATCCTCCTGCCTCAGCTTCCCGAGTGCTGGGATTATAGGCATGTGCCACCATACCTGGCCTCATGGTTTCTTTATACACGTGTAATTGAAAGAGTTTTGCCCTAGAATAAATTACAGGACATTATGGCGATGGAAGGCCAAATCAGGGATGTTTACCCTGAGGTCACTTCCTCCTTCTCCTATTACAACTTCCTTTTTCCCTTCCAGTGCAAAAGAAAATTCCAAACAGTTCCTTGTGAGTCGTCAATACCCACCTTAAATACCACCCCGGTCAAAGGTAACATATGTCCCATACCCCATATCCCAGTTGAAGCAGCCATGGGTTGCATGTTTCCTTCTGCTTCCTCACTTCAATAAACCTGTTTAAACCTGTTTCTGTGTGCATGTGTTTGTGTGTGTGTGTACTGAAACCCAGGGCCTTGGGGCTGGGATTTAGCTCAGCAGCATAAGCGACCGCCTTGCAAGTGTGCAGTCCTGAGTTCAATCCCCAGAGCCAAAAAAAAAAAAAAAAGAAACCCAGGACCTCATCCATCCTGAGCACATGCTGGAAGAATTGGTTGGGAGGCTATGATTATAATGCTTTCCTCAGATCTTTGATTTTGCATTGCAGCCAGAGACCACTTTACACTAATATCATGATTTAAGACACGAAATTTTATTCTAGACTACAAATTTCTATGAGGTGGTTCTACTTTAAATTCATCCTTCATCCTATATGGAGCTCCTCTATTGTAAGAATTTTTTTTGTTTTGTATTGTATTGTTTTGTATTGTAAGAATTATTTTATCACTTCGCACTAGTTATGTGCCTTCGTCTTTTCTCCGTTTTTTTGGAGGGGATACTGTGGAGTACACTCAGGGGTGTACTACTGTTGATGTACACCCAGGGTCTCTATAATTCCTCAGGCTGGACTGGACTTTCTATCCATCTGCCTAGGCCTTGTCAGTAGCTGGGATTATGTCTGTACACCACCATCCTCATTCTCTCTCTCTCTCTCTCTCTTCCTCTAAAAGGTTTTCTGTCTCCAGTTGGATTATTTTCCTGGTTGCTGATTTTTCGGATTTTGGTCTGATAATTCCCTACCGTCTTGTCATGTTTTAGATGCTTTGTAATTGGCTCAGTTTTGTTCCTATCAAGTTCGTATGATGGCACTGATCCCCATTAATTCATAATGTGACTGTTCAGAGAGAGCTCTATGAAGAGGTAATTAAGTTAAAGTGAGGTATTAAGATATGCGTTAGTGCCAATCTGTAGGAGACTGAAATAACGGCACGTGAGGAACCACAGAGGCTGACACAGTGAAGAACAGATTTTACTCCACCTACAGGCAGACTGATATCAGAAAGAATGTCAGCAAGGATCTAAAGCAAGGACTGAGTATATTATAGGTTTTTAAGGTGGGGGGGGTGCAACTTTAAGAAATCTCAAAAAATCTGGATAAAAGCGTTTATGTTTAAGGCTGTAGGCAATCAGCCCTGGTTGGTACACAGCTGATCTTGGGACTGCAGGGCGACCTTAGTCCTACATTAAACATTTTATTGCCCTTGTTTCTTGTTTGCCAGGGCAAGCTACTGTCAGCAATGGCGAGTACACTGTTTGTATTGGGCAGCTCAGTGTCACTCTCAGGCCAGTCCTGACGGTGACCTTGTAAGAAGAGGAAATTTGAAGCACAGAGACACTGGAAGTTATGCAGGTACAGAAAGAGAACTCCGGAAGGGAGGCGATGGGTGGATGGATGGGTGGGTGGATGGATGGATGGATGGATGGATGACAGAGACGAGCTTCCCCACGTCACAGCTGGCCGACTGCGCAGTCCCTCTGACCGTGGGGAACGCGGGCCGCCAGGCCGGGCACCGCCGCTGGGTCAAGGATGCCGCGAGCGCGAGCCGGGAACTCGGCGGCTTCCGGCTTCCGGCTTCCGGGTTCTCGGGCGCGCGCTCCCCGAGGCGGCGGGCGCGCGGAGCGGGAAACAGAGCCTGGGGCAGCGTCCACCCGGGCCGCGTGGGGCGCGGCGAGCCGGGGCCGCCGGGGCGCGGGCGGGAGCGCCTGGCGGGAGGGCGCCACAGCGGAGCGAGGTGCCGGGCGCCGCCGGCCTGCGGCCTGACGGGCTCAGGTGGAGCTGACCGCTGCTGCCGGCCCGGCATTGGAGCGTCGGCCGGCGCGCTGTCCTCGCCCAGGTTGGCGGGGCCCGGTGGGGGTCGTCCTGCCGTTCCCCGCCGAGAGCCCCCCGCCCCGGCGGACCTGGGTGGAAATTTGGAGAAGACCCGCCCTGTCCCGAGGCCAGGGCTCCTCGGGCGACAGAGCGCGGCCTGCGTGCGCGCGGGCGCTGCGGTCTGTGCCTAAAAGGCGGGCGGAGAGCGGCGCTGTGACCCCGGCCGGCCCTCGGAAGAGAATTCGGCGCGGCGGCATCTGGCGACACGCAGCTGGCTGTGCCGCGGCCCAGGCCCAGCGGTGAGTACGCGGCCTCCCGCCGGCGCGAGCGCGGGCAGGGTCTTAGTCGCTGTTTCGGAAAGAGGGCTGCACTTCCCTGGGAAGTTTCTGCGCTTCGAGAACGAGACTTTTTATTTCGTCAGGGGCAGTCTGTTTACCAGAGCTCCCATCTGTGGGTTGCATGCAGTCACATCCCTTTCCCCTTCCCCAGAAACTTCAGAAAGTCAGCCCGGCTCCCTCCCACGGCGCTAGGACCGTGGGGTCACCGTGACTGGACCTGGTCCTGGCGCCGCCGTCTACTTAGATGCCGGTTCTTGGAAGAGATGATGGATTGGGGCGGTTCTCAAGTTTGCCGGCCGTAGACAATTCTGCAGTAACTCTTGACTGTGTTTCCTCCATTTGCGCACATGCCTCCTCCCCCAGTTTTAACATCAGGATTTGTTTGACCAGTTCAGTGTAAAAGCTCTGGGTTCTATCTCCTGTACCATCAAAAATGTATAAAAGAAAAATGTTATAATATTGTTAACTTAAGAGTTTGCTTTATGTTTAGCATTGTCTCAGTCAACATTATTAACCCTGTGAAGGACAGTTATTACCGCAATCTCATAGATGAGACGAAACTGAAGCTCAGAGAGCCTCACAGCTTCTAGGTACAAGTGTCAGGACTCCAGCCATCTGATTTGAAAGCCTGTCTGCTTAACTCTCAAGTATCCAGGCAGAAGATGCGTATAGCTCACAAGATGGGAAGACAAGGCAGAGCCTGCACTTGTTTTTACATCTTTGGATGTTTATGTGTCTTTGTGTCCATACACATGCAACTGGGAGATAAAGCTGTAGCCAAGTAAATTGATTATATGACATGTGATCAAAACAATACCTCTTGTTTTATAACTGTATTACAGTAAAAGACACATTGCCATTAATACTCCTAAATACTCCCCGTCACCTCAAACACACTCATCCCATCATTCTTACCATTGGGAAACAGTTATGCAAATCTTTTTGGTGTTTTTATAAGGTGTTACAAAAAACACAATGAATCCTGCTGTCAAGTGCCATTCAAGAGAAAGGCAGGTGTGTAAAAACATTATTGTATGTCCTCATGCACCTTGTTCACTGATGTGGTACCGTGCAACTTGGGCTCTTCTCCCAAAGTCAAAATGACCATGAAAGGTAAATGTTTTGAATTGATTCAGGACATCAAGGCAACCATGATAGCCCAAATAAAGACACTCATGAAAGAAAATTTTTCAGAAAATACTAAGAATGATGGAATAAGTGTTTGAAGGAAAGGCGAGTATCTTGAAGGGTCTGGTTGCAAAATCTTTTCTTCTAATTTTTTAAAAGAAGTTTAAAGATTAATCATATTTTTAGATCATACTTTGTACTCCTGGGTTGATGCTGCATCTTTGTTTTGTATCTTTTGCAGGTTCTGGAGTTCTGGACATATGACAGGATCTTCTGGACTGCTCCGCTCCTGCCTTTTGCTCCTCTGAAACAGTATAGAGGCATGTACTTAAAACAGCCCACCTCTCAAAGAAACAACCTGAGTTTTTCAGAGTTGTTGAGAGTCACACCAACCTCTAGGAGCCCCGTGGTCCTCACGCTGCAGAGAACATGCCAAACTCCTGAGGGCAGCAGTTGTGATCTGAGGGGGCCATCTGGCTGTGAAGCCTCTTGTCAGAGGCCAGAACAATTTCCTCACCTGAAGTGGACAAGCTTGGTCAGGCTGGCATCATCATGCCACAACAGCTCCTGATTACCCTGCCCACTGAGGCCGACATGTGGGTGAAGTTGCACCATCCAAGGAAGGCCAAAGAAGGGGCACCCCTGTGGGAAGATGTGACTAAAATATTTGAAGGAGAAGGTGAGCGTAAACTGAAGGGGGGGTCGGGAGGGGAAGAGTTCTCATTGTGGAAAGAACCTTTACGGAGGTGATCTCTTTTGGGAGGAAATTGGGGGACAGGCTTTTAGAGGATGTTATGATCTTGTCACTGTGATAGAATACCTGATACAAACATCTTAAACTGGAAAGAGTTATTTTGGTAACTTTGCAAAAGTTTCAACTGCCTTCATTGCTTTTAGGCTTATGGCAAGGCAGAAACATGGCAGAAGGATATGGCAGTTGAAAACTGCTTGCCTCATAGAGCCAAGAACCAGAGAGAGGGAAAAGCTATAAAGGAAGGGGCTGGGGACCAGACGTAGTTCCCAAGGTCAGAACTCCATGATCTCCCTTCAACTACGCCTCATCTCCTGCTTCACCTCCCAATAAGACCTTCAGATTATGATCTCAGCCTGTCAGCTAGTAATCAAGCCTTTAGACAATGAGTTTTGGGGAATTTTTCAAATTTAAACCATAACAGAAGAGTTACATTGGTGGCTTTTAGAAAGGGGAGAACTATGAAAGAAAATGCTAGTCTCGTGTCCAGGACCACACTTGATTTAATGGTCTGGTGAGGAGTAAATAGACAAGGGAATTTATGTCTCATGTGCTATCTTTAATCCTTTGTAATCAGCCAGTATTTTTGTTGTGTTCTAGCAGTATCAGATCCGGGACTTTGGTCAAGTATCTCGACAGATGAAAAAATGAATAATTTTGTCTAATGCTAATTATTAATTGATCTAGATAGTCAGATTGAAATAATAGAAGGTAGTCTAGAAAAGCAGTTTTTGAATACAGGAGACTGGAAGCTTTCTTCTGCTTGCATAGATAGGAGAGATTTTCATAAAACATGTAGCACTGAATGACCTGGAAGAACTCTTTTAGGTTGTTTTTGTTTTTAATAGAAGATTTAGAGAAAAGATAGAAAATTAGATACCTTGGGGAGTGGTTCAGAGAATGGGGAATATTTAGTCTAAGTGAGGGTTAGAATTATGGTACAGATGATGTCCCGGGCTTAAAGGGGAAAGTTGTCCTTTCCAGTGACCATGCAGCTCCAGGAGGGACACAGGGAGTGGTGAGAGGTAGAGGGCAGCTGCCTAACCAGCCAAATCAATTCTGGAAGTTTGGAGATGACCGTTACTGAGAAACTATGCCTCAGGCAGATCACAGAATGCCTTGAAGTCCATGGTGAACTTTTGAAGTTACTCTTGTCAGTGAGGAGCCTTTGAGGATTTTTGAACAAATGGGTAGCTTAATAGATCTGGACCCACATTGACTATTGGGAAATATTAAAGCTCAGAGCAGTACACTGTAGGTTGTCCTCATAAAGGGAAAGCTTCAGCTGCGCTGAAGCCATCTTAAAGGTCCTTTATCAGTGTTTTCAGAGAGAAGCCTCTTTCCGGTGCATCTGCAGGCAGTTTTTGCGTGAGAGGCATATAGGTCTCATGGTTCTTTCCCTTTCCCAGCTCTGCTATCTCAGGGTACTGGTGAGACCCAGGAAGAAAATTTAGAGGATGAAGTGATTCCTGGACTCCTGACAACAGAATCCCAGGTATGTTGACGTTTTCTCTATCTTTCTTGATACTGTTTCTTGGCTTTTAAGGATATTGTCTTGGCTTTGGGCGGGGGAGGGGGGTTGGGGTGAATCCCACTAACAGAATCAACCAAGGGAACTCAGTGCAAATTGCTCCCCAGAAAACTGGACTTCTATAGTAACAGTGTCCCTGTTCGTAGTAGCTTCCCTCACTATAACTCTTGTTACTCTTGATAAACTGCATCTAGATATGATATCTTATTAATTTTGGTAGAGAAAACAAAGTGAGTGATATTCCAGTCCCTAAAAAACCAACAAATGCCATTTTAGATCTAAGATAAACGTTAGTCAAAGCTCAAAAACAGTATTTGTAAAGGAAGTTAGGCATGATGACGAATGCCTGTAACCCAGCCCTCTGGGACGCTGAGGCAGGAAGATTTTAAGTTTGAGCCCATTGTGGGCAACTTAGTGACTTAGTCTCTGTGTCAAAATAAAAACCAAAGAAAGGGCTGGGCTGTAGCTCAGTACAAAGACTTTGGCTTTCAATCTCCAGTACCAAAATAGAGAACTACAAGAGAGAAGAAAGTTGTGACATTCTTAGTGATACATAGTGAACTGTAAGAGGTACCCTTGGTGTAGTATTTAAGAAGCCAAAGGAGAAATAACGTGAAACAGAAATGATGAGGCTATGCTGCATACCCCTTCAGTTGGCGAGGCAGGAGCAGAAGAGGCCTGAGAGCAGTCAGGACTGTCAGAAAGTTTCCTTTACTATCTGGCAGAAATGAGAGTGAAATAGAAGGAAATTATCTATGTATTCATTTATATGGATACTTAATTTTATTTATTAGTCTTTTTGTTCCTTTTTTTTTTTTTTTTGGTCTTTTTCTTTTTTATCGGTATCGGGGACTGAACTCACGACCACACACTTGCAAGGCAGGTGCTTATGCCGCTGAGCTAAATCCCCAGCCCCCATTTATTGGTCTTTTTGAGACAAGGTGTCACCATGCATTCAAGCTGGCCTTGAGCTCACTTTGTAGCCCAGGCTGGTCTTGAACTCACAACAGTCCTCCTGCCTCAGCCTCCCAAGTGCTAGGATTACAAGCATGCACCACGGCACCCAGCTTTTTTGTATTTATTTTTAAGAGACTAAAACCAAATAAAATAAAACTGAATAAAGACAGTCAAAACAAAACAGTGAAAGTGATACAGGACTTCAAAACAAGATTAATAGGAAATCAACAATGACTACCATAATATACCTTATTATCTTCAAAATAAATGCCCATACCATCAAATATAATAAAATCAAGCCAAACAAAACAGAATAAAACCAATCAAAACAAGGCAAGGAAAATGATACAGGACTTTAATACCAGATAATAGGGCATTAACAATGGCTACCACCTTCCCTTTTTAGACATTTCCTCCTTTTTTAGACTTTCATTTTCACAATATCTGTTGTACATTTTGGATCCCACTAACTCCTTCAGTTTTTTTATACTAAAGAGGTAACATGATGTTCACTTATGTGAGTCTGAACCATTTCACCCAAGAGCATGATTGCAAGTTGCCTCCATTTACCTGCAAGAGCTTTGTGGTTATCCTTCTTTCTAGTGAGTAGCTTTCCATTGTATAAAAATGTTTTATCTTTCTTATGCAGTCTGTGGGTGACGGACAATAAATACTTTACTCCAATCTTTTCTTGAGTTGATGGTTTGGGTTGAGAAGTCTGTCATGATTCTGATGGTCTTTCCTTTATAGGTAATCTGTTTTTTTTTCTCTAACAGCCTTTAATATTCTGTTTTGGGGCTGAATTTCTGGGATTTTGATTATTGTTTGTCTGGGTGTAGATTTATTTTGGTTATGGCTAGTTGGAGTTCTACATGTCTCACTTAACTGCGTGTCAGGTCCTTTGCTCATGTGTGGAAAGTTCTCTGCTATTCCTTTTATAAATAGTCCTGTGTCATATATGTTGACTCTTTGTGTCATCTTGCAGCTGTTGAATTGTTATTTCCTGGTTCCTTGTTATTTTTAAGAGATCTTTCAAAAAAAAAGCGTTCCTTTTGCGATCACTAGCTGCCAAATTATCTTCAAGGTCTGAACATTTATCTTCATATTTCTTTCAAGTGGTTTTGCAGCCTTCAGTGGAGTTTTTAATTTCTTGGATATCTCTTGGAATCTGTTTCATGCATTCCAGTTCTTCTCTATAGTGTTCATCAAAGGTTTCTGTCATTCTCCTATGCTCCTCTTTTGTTTAATCTATGTCTTCTTTAGATACACTCAGCAACCCTTTTATTATGTTCGTCACTTCTTTTACCTGAGATATTATTTCTGTTCTGATTTTTTTTTTTTTTTTTTTTGTCTTTTTTCTTTTTATCGGTACCGGGGATCGAACCCACGACTGCCTGCTTGCAAGGCAGGCACTTGTGCCACTGAGCTAAATCTCCAGCCCCTGTTCTGATTTCTTTTACAGTCTCATGAAGTACTTTCTTTATTTCAATTGCCATCATCCCAGAAATTTCAGGTGTACAACCTCCTGTTTCTTTTATGTCCATGCTTCCTGGACTTGTTCTGTTTGGGCTGGAGGTCTGAGATTGCCTTTTGCTCCTTTGTCTCGACATTTTCCTGGGTTCCTCCAGAGGAGCAGGTTGTGGAGTCTTAGGCACTTCCCATTTTGGCTACTCATCCACAGTGTAGGAGGGTGGATCAGGCACCTGGGTTTCTCCTAACCCAGGGAAGGGTGGGGAGCAGGGTGGGCTTCTCCAATGCATTACTGGCTGGTTCTCTTGTGCTGTGCAGGCTACAGGGCCTTGAAGGTGATGGTGGGCTGCAGACTTGTAGGGATGGGGCTGGCTGTTTCTTCTGCCCTCCCACACTGAGTCCCAAAGGTAGCCTTAATGTGTATGGGGACTGGGTTGGCTGCTTATCCCAGCCTGTGAGGTTGCCTGCAGGAGAATCCGGATGACGGCCACCCATGCATGCAGCGGCTGGGCTCAAGAAAGACCTTTTTAAAGAGAGACCATTATAGACAGACGACTTTTAGGTGAAAAGAAATTGAAATCTAAAATTAGTACATTTGATTTTATCTGAAGTTAGACAGTATAGGATTTGATTTATCTTTGGGCAGTGGTTTTAACTCTTTACAATCTCAGCTATCTCAACTAAAAAGTTTTAGATAATAATATCTGCCTTCTAGGATTGAAATGCATGCCAGAGTTATTTATAACAATAAGTAGTGGTCTGATTATTTAGAGTTCTCTATTCCACATATTCAGAATCCCTTCCTGACATTTATCAGATACTAGATTCTTAGCATTGGTAAAGGATTACATTTTTAAACACTGAAGTACAAGTGACATGCAGGAAATTACACTTAAAGTATATAATTTTGTTTCAGTAGATGTATGTACCATGTAGCCAATCAACAAATAAAAACATTCCAATCATTTGAGAATGTTCCATTATGCCCCTTCCAAATCGGTATTCTACCTCACCTGCTAGAGTGCATGAAATCTATATTTTTTATACTGCATTTGTTTCTACAAGTATCATAAGAGTTTAATTTAAAAAGAATACATATTCTGTAGTAGTTACAGTGTTCTATAAATGTCAAGTTAAATTCATTAATATGTTCAAATCTCTGATAGCTGATGATTTTTGTCTATAGATCCCTTTAGTTTTATTAGCTTTGCTTTATTTTGAAGTTCTGTCAATATGAACACTTATGACTGTTGTCCTCTTGAATTGACTTTGTTATGAAATGTCTCTCTGATGTATGATCATACCACCTTGAATGTACCCAGTGTCATTTGAAATGTCCCTTTTTATCTAATAATGCTTTTTCCTGCAGTCTGCTTTGTCTGATTTAAGTTAGCTCCTCCAGGGTTCTTTTCATTATTATTTTCTTTTTTTGTCTTTTTGAGACAGGGTTTCATTATGTAGTTCAGGCTGGCCCTGGCCTTGAACTCACTTTGTAGCCCGGGCTGGCCTACAACTCACAGCAAAGCTCCTGCCTCAGCCTTCTGACTACTGGGATTATAGGTGTGAGCCATCCATGCCTGTCTGATTATTATTGTTTTCATTGTATTGCTTTTTCTATTTTTATTTTAAACTGTTTCTATACTTAAAGTATAAAAAAGGTGTGGCCTTAAATATAGCTAGATCTTGTCAGTTTAGTCTGTTAGTTGTTAATCATACAAGAGATGATTATTATAGATAATATATATTTGTTGTATATATCTAAGTGTATATCATTTTTGCTGTCTTTTTAGCTTATTAGTACATGAGTACATAATGTTACTATGTTCATAACACATTTTTTTTGTGGGAGTTACGTTTGCAGTATATGTTTTACATTCCTTGTATGGAATTGGTACATGTACTTAATGAGCCACTTCCTTTTTTCTTGATTAATTGTATTAATATGCTTTTGACATACATAATGATCATATCATCATAGGGAGTTTGTACCTGTAAATAATATATCTTTTAATTTTTTTTCCTATTTCTTTTCCTTCAATCCTTTTTTTCCCTCTCCCTTTACAAAACTTTTTTCTATGTTTTTCTTCCATTCATTTTTTGATCCTTATTTCCGCCCTTATTTCTCTTCCCATTTGAACATTTTCTTCCTACTTCTCAATGGCTATCATCCATTTTGGTCTTACTTACCCTTTGGGTTTTTCACACAGAAATAATATGTGTGTCTTAATTTATTTCACTTAAAATTATGTTCTCAAGGTGCATCCATTTACCTAAAAATGTCTTTTAAGTTTATCCTTCTTTATGGCAAGGTACTACTCCAGTATATATAAAAATCACTTTCTTTATCCATTCATCCATTGATGGGCATCTGGGCTGTTTTCAAGATTTAGCTATTACCAACTGTGTGCATATATCACTGTGATACAATGCTTTTAACTCTTTCATGAAGATACCTAGAAGTGAAATAGCTGGGTCAAATGAAACTTGTACTTTTAGTTTTTTGAGGAATCTCCATACTGATTTCTCTATTGGTTGTACTAAATTTTTTTTGGTTGTACTAATTTATAAACTCACCAACAGTGCAGAAGAGTTCCTTTTCCCCCTCAACCTTGCCAGCGTTTATTATTCATTGATTTCTTGATGATAGCCATTCTTTCTAGACTGAGATGAAATCTCAGTGTAGTTTTAATTTGCATTTCTGAAATGATTGGTGATATTGAACTTGGTGATTTTCATATATTTGATTGATATTGGTGATTGTCATATATTTGGTATTTGTACTTCCTCATCTGAGAAGTTTCTGTCCATTTCAGATGCCCATTTTTGGATGCAGTTTTTAATTTTGGGGAGGGTCTAAGTTTTGGAGTTCTCTATATATTCTAGATATTTGTCTGAAGGATAGCTGGCAAAAAATTTTTCCCATTCTATGAAATGTCTCTTCACTATGTTGGTGGTTTCTTTGCTGTGAAAAAGCTTTTTAATCTGATGTAATCCTCGTTGTTGATTCTTTGTAATACATCCTGTGTGATTTGGTTTGTTCAAAAAGTCTTTGCCTTTAATCTGTGTCTTCCAGAGTTTTACCTAGCATAGCAGATTAAGCATTTCTGTTTTAATATTTATTTCTAAAAATATATTTAGATCTTTGATCCATTTCAATTTTAGTTTAGTCCATGGTAAGAGATAGGGGTCTAGGTTTAATCTTCGACATGTGGAAAGTTAATTTTCCTAGCACTATTTATTAAAGAAGTTTCCAGGCATGGGGTGCACACCTGTAATCCTAGCACTTGGTGAGCTGAAGAGGGACAATCACAGAGTTACAGGCCATCCTGAGCTCTAAAGTGAGTTCAAGAACTATGTAGTGAGACCATGTCCTTAAACAAGAAAAAGGGGGAAAAAAGGGAAAAAGAAGCGCTATTCTTTTTTTCAGTGAAGATGTTTTGCCCTTTTGTCAAAAATAAAGTAGCTGAGGGTGTTTGGAGTTGTTTCTGCATTTTCTGTTCCATTGATCATCAGGTCTGGTTTTTTGGCTATTTTTGTCATAGTAGTTTTGTACTGTAATTTCATTGTGGTGCTCCCTGCCTTGCCTTTGTTGCCCAGAAATGATTTTGCTATTCTAGGGCTCTTCTGCTTCCAAATAAATTTTATGATTATTTTCTCTAGTTCTGTGTGGGGTACTCAGTATTTTGATTGGGATTGCATTAAATCTGTGTAAGTTTTGGAAGTATGGACATTTTCATTATATTGGTTCTATTTATCCAAGAAAAATTTTTTTATTTTCTAATATCTTGTTCAATCTCCTTTTTCAGAGTAGTTTTCAATGTAGAGGTCTTTTATTTCCTTCATTAGATTGATTCCTAAGTATTTCGTTTTTCTTGATGCTATTGTCAAAGGTATTGTTTCTCTAATTTCGCTCTCAGTGAGTTTGTTATTTGTATACAGGAATGCTGTTGATTTTGGACTGTTAACTTTCTGCTATGCTACTTTTGGTGGAGTTCTTGGGGATTCCTATGGTAGATTATCGTATCATGCACAAATAATGATAATTTAACTTCTTCCTTTCCTATCATTATTCCTTTTATTTCTTTCTCTTGTTTAATTGCTCTGGCTAATGTTTCCAGAACTATATTGAATAGGAGTGGTAAAAGTGGGCATCCTTGTTTTTTCCTGATTTTAGAGCAAAAGCTTTCAGTTTTGATCATTTAGTATGATGTTGGGTGTTGGTTTGGTACAGATGACTTTTATTAGGTTGAATTAAAGACCATCTATTTCAATTTTCTGTAGGGTTTTTTGTTTTTTGTTTTTTGGTATCATTAAAAGGGTGTTGGGCTTTTTCAAATGCTTTTTCTGTGTCTATTGAGTTGGTCATGCGGTTTTTGTCCTTAGTTCTCTTAATGTGTTGTATTAACATTTATTGGTTTGCACGTATCAAATCATCCCTGCATCCCTCCCTGGTCAAGGTGTATACTCTTTGATGGTTTGTTGCATTCTGTTTGCCAGTATTGTAGGATTTTTGTGTCTGTGTTCATTAAGGAGATTGGTCTATCATTCTCTTTTTTTAGTTGGATCCTTCTCTGGTTTGGGTATTAGGGTAATACTTGATTCCAGGAATGATTTTGGGAGTGTTGCTTCCTTTTCAGTTTCATTAAAGAATTTAAGGAGTAGTAGCCTTAAACCTCTAAATTTCTTGTAAAATTCAGTAGTGATTCCACCGGGTAGTTTTTGTTGGTAGTTTTTAATTACCTCATCAATTTCATTGACTGATACTGTTATTTAGAATTTTTTTATCTTTCTCATATGACTTTGGTAATTTGTATCTATCTAGGAATCTGGCCATTTCTTCTGAGTTTTGTACTTTACTAGAGTATAAGTTCTTGAAGTAGGTGCTGATGATGTTCTGGATTTCTGCAGGATCCATTGTCATTTTGCCTTTTTTATTCCTAATTGCATAAAGTTGAGTTTTTTCTTTCCATTTTTTATAAGATTGGCTGAAGGTTTATCAATTTGACTTATTCTTTCAAAGAACCAGCTTTTCAGTTCATTGGTTCTTTGTATTGTTTTATTAGTCTCAACTACATTAATTTTGTTCAGATCTTTATAATTTCCATGTATGGGATTTGGGTTTAAGTTGTTCTTTTCCTAGAAGGTTGAGGTTCAACATTAGGTTATTTATTTGCGCTCGCTCTGTGTTTTCGATGTGGGAATTCTCCATTATAAATTTCTCTCACGGAACTTGCTTTCATTGTGTCTCATAAGTTCTGGTATGCCATGTTAGCATTATTGTTTACTTGTAGAAACTGTCTAATTTCTTCTTTAATTTCATCTGATTCGTTGGTTGTTCAGGAGGGTATTACTTAATGAGGTATGGGGTCATATCCTGCTCTCATCTTTTTTCATTGTCTATTTTTAAAATTCATTTTCTATATCAATGCTTGTAAATTGCTATGGTATGTAGCTTTATTACTAGTATCAAGACCTCATTAGGAAATAACTACTTTCAGAGATGTCTTCTAGGCATAGCTGGCT